AACTAGTAACTTTGGTGTTTTGTCAGATTACAATGGCAAATGATAGCTAAAAGTGGAAGTAGCGCATGTTGTTCATTAGAGGGCGTGTGTGAGTCCTCGACAGAACTGATGATACTTTTATTATTTTATTAAAATAACAGCTGATAGACGTCCATGAACATTTTTGACTGTTAAGGTGAGTAGAAATTTTACAGTTTACATTAAAGTGCGACGAATTGTTCTTTTAAATGAGATGTTGTTAGGGTTAGGCACACTTTGAGGTATGTGCTGTTTAAATAAAGAGCAGCGTTCAGATGCGTGGAGTACCTTCAGGAGCAGGTGCCTCTGCAGCGGGAGCGGGTTCCGCCACGGCCGCTTCAGCGGGAGGCGCCTCGGCGGGGGAAGCCTCGGGCACCGGCTCTGCTGGCTTCTCCTCTTTCGGAGCAGCCTTCTTGGCTGACTTTTTGATAGGTGCTGGTTTGGCTGGCATGATGCTTGGGAAAACCTCAACAGGGCGGCCGGTCTTTGAAATGACAATGTCTTTTGGGACGTTCAATTTATACCGCCTCTGAGTATGGACCTTCGGGACTCCTCCTCTTCTTTAAATAGCCTTGATAAATCTGTTCTTTCTTATCAGCTCAGGAATAACCCTAAACGGATCTCACCTCATTACTCAAACTATTGCTTAACTCAGTATCATGTAGCTTATTTCGTGCCTAAATATTTCTGACTCTACTTTTACTTAACTTTTCTAATTTTTAATATCACTTCTTAATGTCTTGCATTTAATCCAAGTTTTTGTTTTGTTTTGTTGGCGCCCTCTTTTGTCTAAAATTGCAAATGAAAAAAAAGTGCGGTCTATACTGCACTTAAAAAATTCAGGCAGTAGAGGGAGACAAACCTCAAAAATAATTTTATCATAGGAATACACGAGTTGAGAGTTTAGTGATAAAAAAATACAAACAGCTGTCATGTTTTGTATGTTGGTTCAAGGTTAGGGTTGGATCCAGACTGAAGCTTGTGTAATTCCTAGTTTTCCTAAATAAAATAAAAAAAAAAACAGCTGCACAAAAATGACATATTTTAATCATATATAGCCTTAGTCCCTGCCAAAAATGATAGATTTAATACTGTATATGCTACTATAATAAAACGTTAGTATTTTGATATACTATTAGACAAGTAAGTAAATTCATAATTTATTGATTATCATGTTTTATTACATTTATGTAATAATTGCCAAATATCATTTTTTTTAACTTTAATAAATGCATAAAACCAGTGTAGGGATGGCACAAGTTTATTGGAAACGTGAGTGAATATTTGATGGAAGAAATTCTCAGCACATGCCTTTATAACCCCTTTCCAGCAGACAGTTTAAAAAATAATAATAAAAACCAACAATAACAAAAGGTGTCTCATCATAGGGCCGGACCTTTTCATATTTTACTGTGATTGTGGTCGCAGATGAGTTCTCTATTTACAATGTTTACAATTGCAATGTTCTATACAAAATAGAAAGATTTCTTAAAGAAAGCAAGAAAAAAAAAGAGGAAGAAGAAGAGAAAGAAAAACAGTTTTTGTTTAAAATCCCAGTGGGACAGGTAGGTCCAATGTGTTTTTCCCAGACAAACAATGGTGATACACATCAACATTAAAACACCATCAAACCTGCACATTAGCTTATCACATTGTTATCTGTCATTGGTACTAATAACTCAACTCTACAACGTTATTCCAGCGCTGCATAGTGACAAATCAATCTGTTTTGATAAACAATATTGAACCTGTTTAATCTAAAACAGGTGGGAAAAAACACAAGTTTACAAAGCACAGGTTTTGTATTATTATTGTGCCTGCTTGAACATTCAGCGTTGTTAGTCGTAAAATAATGAATAAATTAATCAAAACTTAGATAGACACTCCATTTTAGGTTGTCCAGTCTGTATCAGTTCATATGCAAGACAGCAGATATGATAAAGCACACTGTACTACGATGGCAAATATATCTGTGAGACGAGAAGAGACGGTGGGAAATGGCTTTAGTTTGTGCTAGCTGGTAAAGCAGCCTCAAATTTCCAGGACATCTGGAAACGAGACTACCGGCGAGCTCAAATCTCAATGTTATTTATAAGCTAGCATAAAAAAGGATAACACGTTCGCTCGCATTCTTATCCTCCACAGCAAACAATCCCTTGCAAAACATAATAGTTTAGGTATTGCAATGTCCAACGAGTTGGCTTATATTAGGCACATTTTCATGACAAACACTGGGGAATCTTCCCCAAAGCCCCAAACTATCCTTAAGCGATTAAGGGAAGTTTATGATCATACGATGAGCTGTTAAGACAGATTTTGGGGTACTTGTGTGATTTGAAGCACCGCTGCCACTTATTTTTTACAGTTTTTTTTATGGGTTGTTATGGCCAACTCAATCGTAAAAGCCATTCAATACCTTGTAAGATCCGGAAGAGAATACAGAGGACACTTTTATAGTGAATAACGTACATAGGCAACGTAATCTAGTTACTTTGTGGCAGTTAACTTGCCTCTACAGGAAAGGTGATAACTGAGAGATGACCGCGATCCTCGCTGTAATGTATATCTAAACAGACACATTCAGTTTATACAGTAGTTGTTATATTTTATCCTTGCTCTGTTTGTTCTACAATAGACCTTTTTTGTTAGCATTTTTTTTGGGCAATTTTTTTTTGAAAATCTATTTACAAATGTCAGACTCAGATCCTTCAGTAAAAATAAAAACAGAAAAAAGACTTAAAAAATGCTCCTCTGGTTATTCATTTGGAGAGCTACGTCTGACAGTAACAGGACACGTAAACACGAGCACAAGAGTCAGCAAGCATCATCTAGAGCACTAGGTGTGTTGGCAAACTGAAGTTTTGATCCAATTTACATTCTCAGATTACGTTTCATCTGACATTGCTATAGCGCTAGTACTAACCGGTTAGTACATGTACAAGAGAAATTCCGTTTCAATTTGGTAATTTATGAAAAAGATCACTTTGCTCTTGTAGACTGGTTGCCAACACATCCTTTGGCGTCTCATGGTAAGATGCCTTTTTTAGCTATAATTTTCCTCAGTTAAAGCTTTCATGCACATACAGTTCTGGAGCACCTGTAATCATTCAATAGCAAACGCATTAATGAGTTACAATCCACCATTGATATTTTTTAGGCTGTGTTGAATTGCAAGATATTCTATTATTACAATTGTTACTGGAATGATTTGAGAGTTTGTAAAAGACCCTGATATGGGGTCATCCTGTGACTTAAAATGACCAGAAATAATAATAATAATAAAAAAATAATTACGCATTTCCAAACCTGGCTACATTGTTACAGAAGACCAAAAGACATAAGTGTGTGTAAAACCATTTAGCTAACACTGATGTGATTTAACTTTGAAACTCTAGACATAACAAAGGCCAAACATAAATTGCTAAACCTCCTCCAGACATAACAAAGTGTTTAAACCATTTTGGCTTTGTTCACACTGCAAACAATCCTGATTTGTTTTCAAAACCAATCTAACTACATCTTATTTTGCAGGAGCTCAAATTGGCTTAATTTGTTCAGGCAGTGGAGCCAATATCCAGTATATTTACAGCCCTGTTTCCACCTTGTATTAATATGCATTTTTGATGATCCGATCACAAGTGTTAGGCACTAAATGCAGGTGTAAACATGGTCTAAAACTGTGATCGGATCACTGAAACCACATACAGAGGAAGTCAAAAATGCATGTGACCACATCACATTAATAATATGAATCCTCATTTGCTCCGAACTGAAGTGAAGCATCACCTTCTTGCCACCTGCTCAACTAACACTTGATTGTTCTGGGACGTGTTGAGAGAAAGTGCACCAAAATAAGTAATTCAAACTTCGTGGTGCTGGCAGCTGCAATCTGTATCTTTTTCATTTGCTTACATTCCTGCTCGCTCATAAGCTGCACAACATGGTTTCCTTCATTTAATAGTATTTGTGTGCCGCACTTGGGACTCTTGCAAAAAAGATGTTGAGTATCCCAAAATAAAAGGGGAGTTTCTCAACAAAATCCAGAAACAAGGGATCACAAGAGATGCATCTGAAACACGTTAATGCCAGGTGGAAACAGGACCTACATTAGTTGCTACATCAGCACAAAGCCAAGTGAATTGGGTTTGGGGTGTCAGTGAGAACAAAGCCTTTGATTATCTTGATGATCAATGAGCACCTTGGGTACTGGAGCTAAAGTTGAAAGTATACTTCACTTATCCATGTTTCGCTCTGGATCGCACAGTCCATGTTAAGCAATTCTTGTCTGTGCACAACATCGGTGTGCAGCCCGTTTTTTTGTGTCTGCATGCCATGACCTTGTGCATGGACAACAGCGATTGCGCAAGAGATTTGAGTGCTTGAAGGCTTACTAGAACATGCTCACGGTCACAATGCTCAAGTTCACTTTGAAGGGCTTGAATGCTCAGTGGTGTGGAAACATGGAAAATGAAGTATATCTGTACCTTAAGGTCAAAAGCACTATCACATAAACGATTACTGAAAGTAAGATGTTGCATACTGTTCCCATGCACCGGTAACAGCACCTTTGTTATAACTGACAGCTATTTATTTGCCTGAGGTCACCCTCCGACTGTATCAGGCGGTGGATCACATGAACCCTACTGCAGTCATTCCTAGCTTTGCTGCATTTCCAAGTGCCACCTTAATCCAGCAATTTTTTTCAACAATATCAGGCGGCAGATCACATGACATTTGCATATAATTGAACTTGATGAGTCTCTATCACTCATGTCGCCTCAAACTCTCACAAATTCTGGTTGTTTTGTTGCTACAACTCACCATTGGAGCGAACAACATACGAATCTTGAACAACCAGTCAGTGCTCTTGATTGAAAGCTACGAATCAAAGTGCATCCTCTACAGTCTACATCTGTCTGATGTCTGCATGTTTGATAGGAATGAATGCAACCTGGTGAGTCTCTATCACTCATGTCGCCTCAAACTCTCACAAATTCATGTTGTTTTTTTTTTGCTGCAACTCACCATTGGAGCGAACAACATACGAATCTTGAACAACCAGTCAGTGCTCTTGATTGAAAGCTACGAATCAAAGTGCATCCTCTACAGTCTACATCTGTCTGATGTCTGCATGTTTGATAGGAATGAATGCAACCTGGCTATGGGTATGTACTGCACCTTAAAACTACATCACTATGCAAACTGTGAGGTAATATAGAGTAATATTCTGATTGCTATGGAACTGACTTTATGATATATGGAGGGACATCATTTAAGGCTGAATTCTAAGCACCATCTTGTACATTACATTTTGCATCCATGCGAGTTGGTCTAAATGTAACTGCACCTTTGTGTACAGGGTTCAGGCGACTTGATCTTGAGGATGGAGTGTTGGTACTTTAGCAAACAAGAATAAATAGATTTTTGGTCCATATGGTCAAAAGTAATATCAAACAACTGTGGAGCACATTTTGTTCCCAGTATGGCAGACGAACATTTCATCTTCACAATCGTCCAGTCTTCAGAATCCCCAGTTGCAAGTATTGCCATGCCACTTGCAGGTTAAAAAAGCAAAGGAAGGACCGGTTAAGACAACAGTGCAAAAAAGATTCTCGCATAGATCTGGCAGGATCAGTTCTTCTGTTTTTCTTTCAGACTTAGAGTTTTGTCTGCCTTGACATGGTTGTTCTTGAGCATTTCTCTTCTCGACTCTCACAAGCCTTTTGAAGGAGACAGGAGGTGCAAATCAGCTGTACAGAACAGTGTTTTGTAACAGCACTAGCCATTAGTAAGCTCTCGAGTCTTTTAGCTCAGCCTAGAAAGTGGGGTTGCCAGAAATGTCCCGTTCGGGTGATTCGATGTAGTTGGCAGACTCCTGGAGTTTCAGCAGCATCGCCATCTGAATGAGGAACAGAACAAGGACAGCTTGTCACAACACATACAGATTTGTTCACAAAGGTTCAGGTGTAGTTGTACTAGACACTCACCAGTGGATCGGACTCCATTGTGGACAGAGACGTGTCCTTGTTGGACGTGACCCTGTCGTCACTGGGCTGCTGTGTTGGAGCAGAATTGGGGCCAGTGGTTGGCGGAGGGAGGTGAAAGAGTTTGGCCTGGTCCTGTTGAGCTGAAGGCCAGGGCAGCGTATCCCTCACCCACTCCACTGGATCCTCCCATGCTGATTTCTGACCATGGACCTGAAATATATCAATGCAGAGATTGAGCTTCAAGGCTCCACTGCACTTCGAGAAGACACAATAAGTGTCATATGATCCAACAAAACGCAACTCTTTTAGTAACAGATGAACTCTGTTCTAAAACCTAATGAGTTGCCTCATTTTGGCCAAGATGTAAAAGCCACGACATATCAAGCCGACTTCAAAGAACTAATGGCAATTAAAGTCGACGTTGTTGTCACTTCGCATCAGCTGTGTCTGGACCAAAAAGCTATGCTTCAACACACCGCACAGACTACACCTGCATGTAAGGAGTTAACTGTCTATATCAGCAGCTATTCATCTTTCAAAAGGAGAAACCGAATATACAAGATATACACAGACATACGAAATGTAAACAAAGCAGTGCTTGCTTACCATTCTGAATATCAGTTATGTTGATAACTTTCACCATTTTAAGCAGCTCATGTTGTTATAAAAATATTCGCGTATTGGAATGCTCCGGTAAGATAATGTAACATTACAATACAATACAGCCGGCTTCACTGACTTGCTCGCTTTCATCTCTTTTGCTTTAGTTTTTGTGCACTGACTCCTTCGTTAAAGTGAACATCCAATCAGAGTTCTCAAACTCACTGATGGCCATGGCGCCGACTCAACATGTTGAATTGGGCAAAATGCCACTGATGTGAGCCTGATGAGAGCCAACGTGGAATACACCAAAAAACTAGCCCCGTTGGCTGATGGCCAGCTTGGTGTGTCCTGGCCTTAAGGCAGAATAAACTCTGAAACCAGCCTAAAATGTTTTACTGGTGTCCCAGAACCCCTGTAGTAACAAAACACCACACAAGCCTGACCAGGCTAAGCACACCAGTGCTTGACCTGCAAACTAGCTTAAACAGTATTTTTCACCAAGGATACAAGCTCAGTAAAGGAAGACAGATAAAACTTAGAAAACCAAGATGTAGATGGATAAACAAGGTTAATTAGAACTCATTACCAAAAAGCATAGAGTTGTTAGCTTAGAAGCTGTTGAAATCAATTGGGAGTGTAAGTTGAGTCTCTTGCACTTTCTATATGGTGCACAAGAGTAACCATCAGGAGAGTTGCTCCCTATGAAGTGTGTTTCAATTTGGTCACTTATGAGGAGGACCATCTTCAGTGTTAATTTCGTCAACGAAGACGACGACGAAAAATATTCATTAACGAACATTTTTTCTGTGAGTAAGATATGGACTAACAAAGAACAGATTAATTTTTATCGGATAAAGGGCGTTTGCATATCTAGTCTCAGTATGGCAGCCGCAGTGGACGGATAGGCTACCAAAATGCGAACTAGCGATCTGAAACAATGGCCTCAGCACCCGAAGGGGTAGGGATAAGGTGACCAGACGTCCCGTTTTTCCCGGGAGTCACAATTAGCTGTCGAATTAACTTAAAGTTAGTGAAGGCGGGATAAAAAAAAAAAAAACTCATAGTCTTGAGCGCAAATGGAGAAAAACTAACTTGGAAGTTTTTAGAATTGCGTGATAGGAGCTTCCTCACCATTTGTGATATTTGCAGGTCAGTGCACTGTTGACCAGGTCAGTGATGGAAGACGCGTCACTGATATCGTCCAAGATAATGACCAATGGAATGTGCTCAGTGCCACAGTCTCGGTCAATCTGACTGGCCAGATTAGACAGGTACATATTATTTTACCTTAAAATATTGTGACATTTTTTAAGAGATACAACATACAATACAATATCGCGTCCTTAACGTAGGAGATAGTCCTGATGTACGAATACAAAGAACACATTAGATTAATTAAGTATTATAATAAATACATTAATTTAAATCAGTCAATCAATCAATCCATCCATCCATCTATTATATAGTAAACACACATACACACACACCAATTACATTTAAAACAATTTACAGTAAATATAAAATAATTTTCAAAAAATTTAAATCAAGAAAAAAAGATATTGAAAATCTATTGACTTTTGATAATATTCCATGAGTCATTATCAAAATCACCTACTGAATTTTGATAATGTCGGCTATTAAATATCATCAGCAATGACGGTATTATTTGCATACTAAAACATTATTCAATTTTTTTCATACATCTTTTGCATACTACATTATGATTTTAAAATTACGACCTTCCTTTTTTGCATATATTTAAACATTTTAGCTGTCTTTACACCACAGAATGAGATCTCACCCTGAAAGCTGTGGAGATGTCTGTGTCTAACATAGACCATTCAGTTTTCCCATGAATCCTCACAGAGCCGATGTAGAAATCCTGCTGCCTCACCTGCTGATTGTACACCAGTTGGCTTATTTAGTGCATATGATCTAATGTTGATGTATGTAAAGCCATTTGCAATATGTTTTCACGTATTCACCTCTCTGGACACTTGCTGGTCAGCTATACGGACCACCACACGCGTAAAGACCTCATTCCTCTGAGATGACAGGCTCAGTAACTCCATAGGAGCAATGTCTGCTTGACAGAAATAATTATTTGACTCAATCCGCCAGTGACATTTCTAGATTAGTAATGGGAAGCAATGCTTGAAGCTAACTAGTTTTTATCATAGACTGTATAAAAGCATGGACGTAGTGTCCGTGATGTCAACCGTATGTTTCTGAAGAGCATTTTTGAAGCTCAAAGTGGGCGGAGCCGGCCGTCGCCATCTTGGCAGCGCGTCACCGCACGTCACTCCCGGATAATTGAAAATGGGCAAAGAGGCGGGAGCTGGTTGCTGAAACCACACCCACCTAGCTCGACGGTGGTGACAGCAGCGGCAATCCACCTGCCACTCAAGTGGCCACGCCCTTAATTATGCAGAACTTTAAGGCTTAATATAATTTAAACGGATGAGTTATAAAAAAATTCACCCCCCTCACAGTTGTCATGAAGGGAAAATTTAGCTATATAGACCAAAACCACTTTTTGTACCAGGCTGTAAACATTTTTTTTTCTGCTGTAAAGTTGGGAATTTTAACATAGGGAGTCTATGGGACTTGACTCCCTTTTGGAGCCAGCCTCTAGCGGCCAGTCGATGAATTGCAGTTTTAGTCACTTAGTGTTGGTTTCACGAGAGAGAGCGGAAGGTTGCCGCTTGGTTTTTATGTTTAAGTATGATATGGCATGTGACTACAGGAACTCACCAGTGTTGGAGCACTCATTGAGGCTGAGGCTGAAGGACTTGGTGAGGCTCATGGGTGGTTTGGTTTGGTTGGAGTTCAGTAGGCTGGCCAGACCAGACGGCTGGGAGGTGGAAGTAGAAGGTGGGCTGCAAGGAAGGACAAGGGATGATGGAGCACTTCCTGTTTTCAGCTGATCGTTCTCTGCCTTCAGACTCTCCACCATACTCTACAATGAGAGAGTTTGATTAAAGTTTTGTTTTCAATGTAATGTTTGACATGCAAAGTCATGAACTGCAGTGAAGATATGCACGGTTTCACAGGCAAAACATATCCATTGTCTACTGTCAATAGTTTAGTGATGTATGCTCACACAGAAGTTACTTTCAAACCACTAAGCTTTGTGTTGGTCAATGCGACAAATTCACATGACCAACATGAACCCATTGCAAAATCTGTGAAATCTATCGCCCTTATGTGTAATTCCCAATCGCGTAGATTCCTATCGATTTTGCCAATGAAAATTCGCAGAGCAAACACCAAAACATCACTAAACCAGTCACTGACCTGCATGTTGTTCATGGTCTCTTGTAGCTGCTCCAGCTGATGTGCTGAGCTCAGCGCTTCTAGCCGAATGTCCGTCAGTTTCATCTCTTTCTCCCACAGCTCAGACCGCAGCTCAGACACCATCTTCTCATCGCTCTCGTTTTCCTCGTTGCTTTCATGGATCCTGTTAGAACGCAATGTCATTACTGTTTAAAAAGTGCTAACACTTAAAAGCAGTCTAAAGGGTGTAATAGTCCAATTACTGCTGCATTTCAAAAGTGAAATTGCCCACTTTTGCCTGATTTTCGCCTGATATTGTGATTGGCACATGAAGAATTTACTCACACAGAGGAGGTGGCTGATTGGCTGGATGGGAGGGAAGTGGGCGGGTTCTCTCCATCTTCATGACCCAGTTTTGGTGAGTTGGGTGCAGAAGAGTCTGGAGTGGCGATCTCTTCAATATCAGAATACATGGAGCCACCTTTAATGGCGCCCTTCTTAATGCTGAACGCCTTGCCAAAAGAACTTCGTAACTACAGAGAATTCGAGAGAAAGGCAGAGAACTTAAAACACACTGAAGTAATTCACAAATATAAGAATAAATGTTTATTCGGATTTTTTTCACTCATTTAAAGTTTATTAACTTTCACTGTTGTTTATGTGAAATAAGTCTTATTTGATCAAAAATAAAATAAGTAATTTGTGGGATATTATTACAATTTAAAATAACTGTTGTATGTGAATATATTGTAAAATTCAATTTATTCCTGTGATCAAAGCTAAATTTTCAGCATCATTACTCCAGTCTTCAGTGTCACATAATCCTTCAGAGGTCACGTTAATATGCTGATTTGCTTGCCATTTCTTATGAGCATTAAAACAGTATTTCTGTGGAATACATTTTTTCTGGATTCTTTGATTAATAGAAAATTTTTTTTTTTTTTTGCAAACAAAAATCTTTTGTAAAATTATTAATGCCTTTACTGACACTTTTGATCAATTTATTGCTGAATTGCTGAATAAAAGCATTAATTTATTTATATACATTTATGTGAAAATGTTATCAGCTTCTTAGAGTATAATCATAATCATATTGTAAGGAGATGTACAATTTGAGGTTCATTTTACATTCTGCAAACCTCCCTAGTTGATCAAGTGTTGAATTCAATGAAGATACTTCAAGCACAAAAGGACAGACACTTAAACAACAGCACAAGAGAAAAGGACAGATGTTTTTCAACAAGTGCACTTGAAACACTCAGGTGTTGGTGTGGATAGTTATATGTGATGCAATCATTCCTAGAAATTAGCTTGCAGCCTTGAACCACAAAAAATAAAACACAGGTAAAATACCAAAGAGCTGTAACAAATGATTTCATCATGCAAAGTGATCTGTCTCTACTATACATGCCAGAGTTACTGGCATGTATAGTGCACATGTCTTCACAGAAACAATAGTCTGCACTGTTGTTTACTTCACTGGTTTGCACTCTATATGTCATGTGCCTTGTGCTGCTTTATATATTTTTTTACATTTTACCTTATTTGTATATTTGTATAGTTGTATTTTATATTTAATCTGTATCTATCTGTATTTATGTTCTACTGTTAGTGTTATCTGTATGCACCAAGGGTCTGAGAGTAACGCAATTTCAATTCTCTGTGTGTATGTGCTGTACATGTGGAAGAATTGACAATAAAGCAGACTTGACTTCACTTGACTTGACTTAGTGTGAGTGTTCAGCTGCAGCTTCATTCTTGTATGTGTGACAGATTTAATAACTGCTTTTCTTCTTCTTCCGTCATAGCCATATGACACATTCACAGTGTTACCACATGTTTACAGTATTAGTAAAATAGCATTCTAGAGAGAATTCACTAAGAATGAATGGAGCCTAGTGATAGAGCTGGTCACTTGCACCACTTTATAAAAAGCATGTGTGTCCTCGTTTTGTCAGTTCTTAGCAGCTGGTGCTAACTAGAGGTTGACCAATATGGATTCTGCATGGCTGATAGAGTATATCTAGTGAAGTAGGGTGGCTGATGTCCGATACAGGCCAATATTATATTGAATTCAAATATGGTAATGATATCGCATTTAATAAAATATCCTAAATATTGCATGCATGACCAATTTTTGCAAAGACATTTATATTTGTTGTTCAATATATTTATTAAAATTAGAGATAAATCATTTGAAAAAATAGATAAATCTGTAAATGAACAAATTTGTATTTTAAATAGCATCTTAAAGGGATAGTTCACCCAAAAATGAAAATTCTGTCATTAATTACCCTCATGTCGTTCCAAACAGAATTTTCATTTTTGGGTGAACTATCCCTTTAATGTTATTATAGTATTTTTCACAGATAAAGAAGTGAAAAAAGTAAACACTGTGAATAACTACATTCAGTAATCTGGTAAGTCTGTGTGAACTGGGAATCACATTTTCTCATTTCACATACAGTACACAGTGAATATAATATGAATATGACATGAATTTGTTGTACTGGCAAACTGGATATAGAACTGGATATAAAGCATTAGACATGTTTGATTTTCAATTATTAGAGAGAACAATGACACTAAGCCAATAAAGATGGTGAAAGACAACTTCTGTCTCTGCACTCGCTTGGATTTCAGTGCTGTCAAAATAAAAGTCCTGCTTTCAACACTCAATGACCAAACAGAAAAAAACAATGGCTGATGCCAGTAGCTAAAAATGACAAATTTCTGCATTGGCGATTTATTGGTCGACCACTTGTGCTATCTGCTCAGTAAATTCACCTCATAACATTTGTAACATATAGTATTTTACACATATGAAAGTATAAGCGGCAGTGACTGTTAAGAGGAGCTGCACCGATGGTAACCTTTATAGAGCGGTTAGAAACAACAGATGAGGAACATTCCCTCAGAGAGACATATAAACTTACCTCGTAGACCTTAGAGATTTACAAAGAATATGTGAAAACTGTGGTTATGCGCGAGCAGATAATAATAGTCACTATAATTCCATCTTAGGCTCTTTCTTCCGCTTACCCAGCTCTTTTTCTTCTTCTTCTTGGCGTCGTCTTTCAAGCTGCCCACACTGGAGTGACTGGTAATGCTATTCAGACTAGAAATGCTCTCGGATGAGTTCTGCCTCCTGATTCGCAACTCTGAGAGAAGAAATAAAGAACGTTTGTTTGCTAACATTCATTGGATATTAAGCTAAAACTCAATTTGAGGTGCATGTTTGCTGTCTTCACCTTTGGGGGCAACATCTGGGTTACTGAGTGCGACTTGGATGACGGCCTGCGCCTCCATGTTCTTGGTCTTTAGGCTCTCGATTGTTTCTCTAAGGTCCAGTAATTCACTGTCCTATAGAGAAAAAACACAGATGTATTTAGTCTGTGCTCATCCATTTAAAGCATAAACATTGAAACAGCATTCCCCAAAGCACTGCTACTGACGGTTTTCCAAACAAATGTAAGTTCACTTCTGCTTTCCGCAATGATTTACTGCCTGCACTTGACCAATGACATTTACAGCAGACAAAGCCACAGGGACGTCTACAAAAGGTCCTCCAGCTATGCATCACTGGTATCTCAACATCATGTGCTTTTTCTAAATCACTGAAATGATCTGTAGGGTCACAGCCACTGAAACGAATGCATGAATCCGGGTCGCTGCCTCGCAGCGTAAGCTCTCTAGACCGGCTGCCTCTTTCACAGAGGGCAATGTGGCATGAAGGTCAGCGTTGCACTTCTAAACCCTCCTGCATGTGCGTTAATTTAGCCAAAGGCAAATCATGAACTCAAAATTTTGGAGTATTGCACAGATAAACACAGTGACCCCTTGACAGTAAATTAAAGCCAGCAACCCCCAAAATCCATTCAGTCATGATTTGACCCAAATTTGCTCTTTGGCTCTCTGTGACTCTGTGAGGTTACATGTATTGATCTAAATATGGGCGGTAAAAGGACAGTTAAGGGGTAATATGTTTCAAACACATGGTCCAACCCCCCCACCCCACCCCCCTTTTTTGTTTTTAAAACATGGTACTACACTGAAAGAAATGGTGTAGAATTCACTTTGAAACAATTTTGACTCAGAAATTACTAGAATATTTAAAAAAAGAATTACAAAGAAATGTCAAGTAATGGGAAATTAAAGATAAAATGTTGTAGTAGAAAGACAGAAAGAAATATTTTCTTTTAAAACATTTTCTAATAAATTTGGTCAAGGATCCTGCTTCATCACGATATGAAAAGCTAATGCTGTAACTGTTACCAATAAGCTATAAATTATGGAACTTCATACCCATAAATGGTGGAACTGAGATGATTGCAGGAGTTTTTGGTTGTTTTAAGGATGAATATCATACCTTCTGATCAGAGCTGACAGAGAGGGTCTGGAGTCGAGAGGTCATGAGGGCCAGACTCTGCTCAAATGCTGCCACCAGGTTAGCCTATAGATAAACAAAAATAATCCACTGAATTGCATTACATATGATCATCATATAATTAAAGTAATATTAAATAAAGAATAATAAAAAAAAATAAATACACACTACCGTTCAAAAGTTAGGGTTCTGTAAGATTATTTTCTAAGTTTCTAAAAGAAGTCGCTTATGCTTACTAAGTCTGCATTTATTTGATAAAAGTAAAACTGATATTGTGAAATATTATTGCAATTTAAAACAACTGCTTTCTATTTGAATGTATTGTAAAATGTAATTTATTTCTGTGATCCAAAGCTGGATTTTCAGCATCATTACTCCAGTCTTCAGTGTCACGTGATCCTTCAGAAATCAGTATAATATGCTGATTTGCTGCACAAGAAACATTCATGATTATGGTCAATGATTTTTTCATCATTCTTTTATGAATAGACTGAATAGAATAACTGAATAGTGTACTGTACATACAAAATAGTATGTGCGTTCCTATGTGACAGTGTACACTTACATTAGCAGACAGCTGTGAGGTCAGATTGGCCACCTTCTCCTGTGAAGACTCCAGCTCCCTCCTCAGCTTACGGATTTGCTGTGAAGAACCGCACAAAGTTATTAACCAACATATAATTCAATGCATAAATCTGCATCAAAAATTTAAAGGAATAGTTCACCCAAAAATGAGAATTCTGTCATCACTACTCTTCCCCATGTTGTTCCAGACCTGTATGACTGAAGACTGTCAAGCTCCAAAAATGACAAAACAGCAAAGTAAAAAATCATGAAAGTACTCCATACTTTTGAAGTACTCTGAAGTCCTAGGATAGCTTTACATGAGAAAAGGTCATTAATTGACTGACAATGTTCTCCAATAAAGCTCTCACATCTCATTTGTGCAGTTCATATGAGCTACTTTTATATTGTCATTTCTGAGCTTGCCATTGAATTCCACTGAATAAAAAAAGCAGAACACAGCAGAAAAAAACCCCTCATTCTGCTGATCGTCTGCTTTTGTGTTCCAGGGAAGAAAGCAAATCATATAGGATTGTCGTTATGGGATATTCATAGTCATTGCAGGAGTAAATGATGACAATTTTCATTTTTGGTGAACTATTCCTCTAATGATCAGATTATTTACTTTCACATAAATCTCTAAATTGTTTTTCCTAATTGACAGTGTTACAGTCAGACTGAACTGCTGAAGCTCACTGCAGCTGCTGGAAAACTGTGACAGATGATATTTAGCACTCCCAATAGCAACTGTGTCTGTTTATATGATCTCTATTTGGAACACGCTGATAAACTCTATACATGCAACTGAAGACAACAGAAAGACGAATGGAGAGTATATTCACATATTATGAGGCGCAGCAGACCAGAACAACACACACAATGACTAAAATCAGACTCACTTCAAGCCTTCAGGCTTGGAATGCAAAACTTCACCAAGTACACTTTTTGTCCATCTCTTGGTGAGACACCTTAATTTTGCATCCATAGATCAAGTAGACACATCACGAAAGAGTGAAGGCCTTTTCCCATCAGGATATGAAACAATAGCACCACAACGATAATATACAAAAACTAGTCTAACTAATGCAATGTGCCAAGTCTAAAACACCATAATGCAGTCTAAAAGCCTAAAATGTCATTTTTTTTTCTTTTCTTTTCATTTGAAAGGATTATTATTATTTTTAAAATTGTATACTATTTTTTTTTAATTAGATATTATTAGATAGATATTATTTTGATTATATTTATATCCCTCACATTTTTGTAAATATTTTATTATACCTGTCCATGTGACAACACTGAAGAAATGACACTTTGCTACAATGTAAAGTAGTGAGTGTACAGCTTGTATAACAGTGTAAATTTCCTGTCCCCTCAAAATAACTCAACACACAGCCATTAATGTCTAAACCGCTGGCCACAAAAGTGAGTACACCCCTGAGTACAGTGAAAATGTCCAAATTAGGCCCAAAGTGTCAATATTTTGTGTGGCCACCATTATTTTCCAGCACTGCCTTAACCCTCTTGGGCATGGAGTTCACCAGAGCTGTACTCACTTCTGTGAGATACTGTATATAGTATATAGCATATATAGTTATTATTGTTAACATTAATTAAAGATAATTTACTATAGATACAGAGTATAGATATAAATGCTTTATATAAATGACATTATACTTTATAAATAAATTTAAACTCAGCAATTCAATAAATGTATATATTAATTTATATTTTCTTATTTGTTTGGATGCTGAATATTTTTTTTTATTTTAATTTCTATTAATATAAATTCTAGATATCAAAGTTTCATATAAAATGACAAACTTAGCAATTACAATTTTAATCCAGCAATTAAATATATTGTTTTATTCTGAATCAAGGTCATTTTCTTAATTGTTTGGATGCTGAAAATTTGTTTATTCGTTTTATTAATATAAATGAAAGATATCCAAGTTTCATATAAAATGACAAAAATGTGGCAATTTATTGCAATTTACAATTTAATTCAACAACTAAATTTTTATTCTGAAGCAAGGTAATTTTCTTAATTGTTTATGCTCAATAAAATGTTTGGCCTTCATTTAGATATCAAGTATTTTTCATAAAAAAAAAAAAAATCGATGTCAGTACAAATATTTTGAATGTGACAATTACTTTTATTTTTAATTATATAATATTTCATTTTTATTCTATTTTTATTATTTGGTGTTTGTTTTATCCCATCTGATGTGAATAGGCCTTCACATTATAGTTATGAAACACAGAACATGGAGGCAACTATAAATACCAACATGTGGCAAGTGGTTAGCTACTGATTTCCTTCAGCCCAGAGACAGTCGGTCATGATTGAATGAAACACAGCAGAGGAATCTCATAACAGCCTTCTGGACAGCTAATGACAGTTAAAGGCTTTGACTCTATGTGTTAGTTCATTAGCTCCTAACATTAGCTGACTTCAGCTGTTATGATCTCTGAGAACATGTATGACAAAAAGAGGTTATTAATATGACTGTCATTAATTTCTGAATGACAGAGAGGGAAACTCAGAGATGAGAGACAGACACTCACCTCGCCCTGCATTCTCTCCTCCGCCTGAGAGAAGCACGGAAGAAAAGAACGACAGATAGACAGTAAGATACTAAAGAAATGGAAGTTTATAGTGAATACAAATGAAAAAAGGTCTAAAACAGGGCTGCACGATTTGGTTGATTTTTTTTTTTTTTTTTTCAAAATATTTTGTCTCTGAATTGTTGTTGTGTTTTCTGAATTGTTATTTTGTTTTTTAGACTTGCATTTGCGTTTGTAATTTGTTATTTTGCTTTCAGAATTGTGATTTGTTTTGCACTTCACGGCCACCGTACATCTAAGATGTCAAAGCTAAATAAATAAATAAATAAACATAAGTGTGTTTACACTTGTTCTCTGTAAAGGAACCAAATTGAATTTGCTTTCAGATTACCTAAAATTCTGTGGGGAGAAAAAAATCACATTATACACATTAATATATATATTATATATATATAGGGATGGGAAGATTCCCGGATTTGCACGGTGCATCGGCATAAAAAGTTAACGATATGATGCATCGGTTTAAAAAGTGTGCATCGGCTACAAGTTGTCATTTATATTGCAATGAATCGTTTCTAAACTGTTTGCATCAGTAACAACCGATTTATTTATATCTATAAAACGGATCGTTCCGGTCCTTGATTCTGATTGGCTGAGCCGCGTTCGAAGCTGTTGTAAATTACTCTACAAACATACACCTTTGTTTACGTTTGTGTGTTGCTCGGCAACCACTTTGTTGCAACCACAACTGTTTCTGAGGAACTACATTGTTTGGCGGAAGAATGCTGTTTTTATTAATATCATTACACTTTATTTGCTCTGTTTTATTCTGTGAAACCTTACTACGTATATGGAATAACCGTTTTATAAAAGCAATAAGCCCCGTGAAGCCGTGGTCCGCTTCGAGTAGTGCCTAACAATGCACCTTAGCTGTTATAAATTCACTGTAAACCACGGATTCTTGGGGCTTATTGCTTTAATAACTACTAGTGGATGCGCTATACTTGTATTATTTAGAACGTGACCAATAATTTTATATGTAGATTGACTTCTCCTCTCTAAACTGTTTCTCAAGCGCGCTCTCTCATCACCGCTGCGCGTGAATATGATGGATCACAACACCACTACGGAGACCTGAGGAAAAGCGGGGATTAAAGTCCAAAACCTGACTTGAAATAACCTAACAAATAAAGCGGGGCTAAAAATGATCCATAAATGACAAATTAAGTTCACACAATCTCACTAATTTGTGCACGCTTATTTTTAAGCAGCCTTAAAGTCTGCGTGAACCGGAAGTTGCTGCCGACTTTATTTCAGTGTAGTGACGTATTTCCAGCTGAAACGGAATATTGAGTAGAGGGCGGGGTTTTATTTTTGCGGTCCTTCTCTCTGTTGGAGGGGTGTGTTTAACTATATTCTGCCCAAGCCATCAAACTGACATCATCAGAGAAGGAATGCCATTCCAAACCGGAAGCAAATGTTCAGATTTTGATTAAAGATTACCAAGACAAAATTTTTTTTTCAGCGGATTAACTTGCACGGATTAATTGTTCACATCAAGACTAGCAATGTGGGCTAGTAAAGCAAATAAAGCCAATTTTGATTTCATGCTGACTTTAATGTCGATCATGGATCAAATCGATCCACCATGACAAACAGCGAATATATCTGTGCTGTTTAATGCATTTGAGACGTTGTGTTTTCCTCAGTGCATAACTGACATGTCACAGGTATATTTTTCATCTGTAAATGTTAGAAAGTCATGCAAACATATCTATTTTGCTGTCAGGAGTGGGCGAGTGAACGAGCACTGCTGCGCGCTAAACAGACGGAGCACGATAGAGTAATAGCGCAATAATTCTGAGTAAAATATACATTTTGCTAAAATTTTTGTTGTTGGACATTAAATGTGTATTTTGTACAATTACACCTACATAAACATGTATTTTTATGATAGCAGTAACTGTAAAGGGACTATTGCAATGGGTAAATCAAATGTACAGTACTAATTACTAAGCTCAAATGAGTTAATATGAGTTTCTTATAGCAGTTCAAATATAGCCATTTTCTTTATTATTTATTTTCATTTTTAATTCAGTGATTTTAACTTTTAATTTAGTTATTTTAATGCTTTAAAGAGCAATTTTATATTGTTCTGCTATCTGTTCTGCAAACTATAAAAGGTACAGCTGTCATAAAACCAGAGAGAAAGGCTGCATGGCTAGGAACTGTAAAAAACAAAAGGTCAAATAATGTATGTGAGAGAGTGGTAATATCATTGTGTACTTATTGGTCAGTGTTAGAGGAACTCAGCTTAGTCTGA